GGAGGGTGAACCAACGGCAAAGGAAGACCTTTCTCTCTGTCTCTCTCTCTCTCTCACTGTCCACTCTGCCTGCAAAAAAAAAAAAAAAAAAAAAAAAAGAAATAAGACTCTCTCTCTCTCTCTCTGCCTCTCAAATGCAAAAATCTTGACAGAAAGAAAAAGTGCATAAATTGAACTTCATCTAAGTTAAAAACTTTTGTATAGCAAAGGATACTACCAACAGGATGAAAGATAACCCTAGAAAATGGGAGAAAATATCTGCAGGAGACTGATGTAAGGAATTGACTCAGGGGGTATTTGGTACAGTGGTTAAGATGCCTTTTGGAACGCCCAAATCCCATACAGAGTGTCTGGGTTCAAGTGCCGGCTCTGTTTCCAGTCCAGCGCCCTGCCCACCCTGTGAGGCAGCAGATGATGGCTGAAGGACTTGGGTCTCTGCCACCATACAGGACACCCTGAATAAGGTCTAGGCTTCTGGCTTCAGCCTGGCCTAGCCCTGGCTCCTGCAGGCATTTGGGGAGTGAACTAGTGGATAGAAGCTTGATTTTTCTCTCTCTCTTCCCCTTTTAAATAAATAAATAAATACAAAAATGTCTGGGAAAAAAAAAAAACTACATGAAAGATATCCACGAGTGAGATCCCAGTGGAAAGAACGGGTCATCAAAGAAGGAGGTACCTTTCTCTGAAGGGAGGAGAGAACTTCCACTTTGACCATGGCCTTGTCTAAATATGATCAGTCAGTGAACTCAGGGGGCTTCCATAGCCTTGGCAGCTCATGACAAGAGCCTAGGGTGATTACTGATGCCATAAACAAGAGTGTCAATTTGTTAAGTCAACAACAGGAGTCACTGTGCACTTACTCCTCATGTAGGATCTTTGTCCTTAGTGTGCTGTACATTGAGATTTACTGCTATAACTAGTACTCAAACAGTATTTTTCACTTTATGTTTCTGTGTGGGAGCAAACTGTTGAAATCTTTACTTAATGTATGCTAAACTGATCTTCTGTATATAAAGAGAATCGAAAATGAATCTTGATGTGAATGGAAGGGGAGAGGGAGTGGGAAAGGGGAGGGTTGCGGGTGGGAGGGACGTTATGGGGGGAAGCCATTGTAATCCGTAAGCTGTACTTTGGAAATTTATATTCATTAAATAAAAGTTAAAAAATAAACAAATAAATAAATACAAGCACCTGGCTCCTGGACTCCTGCCATCGGATCAGCGCGGTGCGCCGGCCGCAGCGCGCCGGCCGCGGCGGCCATTGGAGGGTGAACCAGCGGCAAAGGAAGACCTTTCTCTCTGTCTCTCTCTCTCACTGTCCACTCTGCCTGTCAAAAAAAAAAAAAATGTCTAAGAATTTATAAATAACCCCTACAACTCAGTAATCGCAACAAAAATGCAAAGAAATACATGTTCGGCCGGCGCCGCGGCTCACTAGGCTAATCCTCCACCTAGTGGCGCCGGCACACGGGTTCTAGTCCCGGTCGGGGCGACGGATTCTGTCCCGCTTGCCCCTCTTCCAGGCCAGCTCTCTGCTGTGGCCAGGGAGTGCAGTGGAGGATGGCCCAGGTGCTTGGGCCCTGCACCCCATGGGAGACCAGGATAAGTACCTGGCTTCTGCTATCGGATCAGCGCGGTGCGCCGGCCGCGGTGGCCATTGGAGGGTGAACCAACGGCAAAGGAAGACCTTTCTCTCTGTTTCTCTCTCTCACTGTCCACTCTGCCTATCAAAAAAAAAAAAAAAAAAAAAAAAAGAAAGAAAAAAGAAATACATGTTCACCTAAATGAACATTTCTCCAAAGAAAATATGCAAATGACCAATAAACACATGAAAAGGTGCACAATGCTACTAAGCATTAAGGGAATGCAAATCAAAACCACAATGAAAGCAAGTGTTTGGCGTAAGAGTTAAGACACTGTTTGGGATGCCCATATTCCATATCAGAATGCCTGGGTTCAAGTCCCAGCTCTGCTTCCAATTCTAGCTTCCTGCTGATGTACACCCCTGGAGGCAGCAGTAATGGCTCAAGTAGTTGGGTTCTTTGCACCCATGTGGGAGATCTGGATTGAGTTCCTGGATCCTGGCTTGGGCCTGGCCCAGTCTCAGCTGTTTTGGCATTTGAAGAGAAAACCAGCAGATGGAAGATCTTTTTGTCTCACTCTGCCTTTCAAATAAAATAAATAAATGAAAATTGTAAACCTATTCATGTGATACCCTTTCACAGCCATAAGGACTATTCTTTTTTTTTTTTTTTTTTTTTTTTTTTTTGACAGGCAGAGTGGACAGTGAGAGAGAGACAGAGAGAAAGGTCTTCCTTTTGCCGTTGGTTCACCCTCCAATGGCCGCCGCGGCCGGCGCGCTGCAGTCGGCGCACCGCGCTGATCGGATGGCAGGAACCAGGTACTTATCCTGGTCTCCCATGGGGTGCAGGGCCCAAGGACTTGGGCCATCCTCCACTGCACTCCCTGGCCACAGCAGAGAGCTGGCCTGGAAGAGGGGCAACCGGGACAGAATCCGGCACCCCGACCGGGACTAGAACCCGGTGTGCCGGCGCCACAAGGTAGAGGATTAGCCTTGTGAGCCGCGGCGCCAGCAGGACTATTCTTATTTTAAAAAAAACTGCTGATGGTGAGCATGTGAGGAGATTAGAACCCTTGTGGATTACTGACAGAGGTGTCAAGTGGTACAGCACTGGGGAAAATGCTACAGCACTTCCTCAAAAAATTTAAAATAGAACTTACCTCTGATCCAGCAGTTGCACCTCTGAGTACATAACTGTAAGAAGTAAAAGCAGAGACTTGAATAGACGCTTATGCACTTGTTTTCATTGAGGCATCATTCACAAAAGCCAAAATGTGGAAGCAATCCAGTATCCATCAACTGGTGAATGGAGACACAGATTTTGCTATACGGAATATTTAGTTTAAAAAGGAAGAGTATTTTGACTTATGGTACTACATGAGTGAGCCTGGAGGACACTACACTGAGTAAAAGAAGCCAGTCACAGAACCAATACTATGTGATATATGCTGTGGCGTAGCGCGTAAAGCTGCCACTTGCAGAGCTACAATCCCATATGGGCACAGGTTCGGGTCCAAGCTACTCCACTTCCAATCCAGCTCTCTGCTATGGCCTGGGAAAGCAGCAGAAGATGGCCCACGTGCTTGGGCCCCTGCACCCATGTGGGAGACCTGGAGGAAGCTCCTGGCTTCGGATCAGCTCAGCTCTGGCCGTCGCGGCCATTTGGGGAGTGAACCAGCAGATGGAAGACTTCTCTTTCTCTCTCTGCTTTTGCCTCTCTGTAACTCAGCCTTTCAAATAAATAAATATTTAAATAATAATAATTAAAAAAGAGCTACCTAGAGGAGTCAAATTCACAGAGACAGAAAGTGGAATTGTGGTTGCCAGGGGCTGGGATGAGGGTGGGGAGGAGGAAATGGAGAGTTTTCCGGCTGGGCAAGATGAGAATGTTCCAGAGATGGTGGTGGTGATGGCGGCGCAGCAGTGTGGGCGTGCCCACTGCCACAGAACAGGACACCTAAAAATGGTTGAAATGGTATGCTTTGTGTTGTGCTCATTTCACCACAGTTGTAAAAAAAAAGAAATGTTTAGAGACAAGAATGCCAACACAGGGTTTGATTAGATTGGCAGGATGATGGTGGGGCAGACGGAACTGACTGTCTGAAGGAGGGAGGGCTGCAAGTTCCTGCCTGTGGTCGGCTGAGGTCGTGGCAGTGCGTTTGGGGATCTGCTGAACACCAGGGAGAAAGAGTTTGAGATGACACGATGTGTTTCATTTTGGAGCCCAAGGTGCTTGTAGGCCATCTCAGTGGTACCCAGACGGTACATGAATAGAGGAGAGGACCTTAGGGGTTTGTGCTAGGGATCAGACAGTTGCAAGCTGTTTGTTTATGGAGGGTAAAGAAAGTCATAGAAGCAAGCAGGATGCCCATGGCCATGGGTGCAGGTGAGAAAGGTGGAGATTTGGGACCAGTGCTAAGAACCATAACATAGAAGGGTTAAGGAAGAAGAGCTTAAAAGGAAACTGAGAAAGGACAACCAGAAAGGTAGGAGAGTGTGGTTCCCAGGAGGCAAGGGAAGAAGCATCAGGAAGAGGAAGTAAACAGAGTGCAGGAAAACAGCAGAGATCTAAACCCCGATTGGATTTATCACGCATTAGACACTGTAGAGGGAGGCCGCGGTGTGAGGTGGCACAGTGACCTGATGGCAAGAGGGAGCTGAGAACACTAATGTCCCCCAGGCTCTCCCCCGCTTCCCCATGGCTGGGTCCTTAACATGGGTTTTCTCTCTCTCTCTCTCTCTCTCTCTCTCTCTCTCTCTCTCTCTCTCCTTCCCCTTCCCTGACTCTCTCAAGGTTGATTTCTTTGAAAGACAGAGTCACAGAGAGGGAGAGAGAAAGAGACCTAGCTGCTGGTTTACTCCCCACGTGGCGGCATCAGCCAGGGCTGGGCCAGGTCAAAGCCAGGAGCCTGGAACTCCATCCAGGTCTCATGTGTGTGCAGGGACCCAAATACTTGGGCCATCATCTGCTGCTTTTTCAGACCCATTAGCTAGGACCTGGATTGGAAGTGGAGCAGCCAGGACTGTGACTGGTGCCCATGGGGGATGCCAGCATTGTAGGCAGCAGCTTAACCTGCTGCACCACAGTGCTGGCCCCGTGTTCTCAGTCTTTGGAGCGGCCTCTCCTGCACCTGCCCATTCCCTACCTGGTAAACTGATGCTCCTACCTGGAAGTGGTCACAAGTCACCTTCTCTGTGATGCTGTTCCCATTCCTCTTCCAAGGAAAGACTGAGACATAAAAACAATAACACTCTGCCACCACCCATTAGGTGGGGTGAGGGAGAAACCAATATTTTATTACTGTATTGAAAAAAGAGAGGTTCCATCGCTCCTACGGCTGAGGTAGAATCAGAGTTCTTTCAAAAAGAGATCTCATTTTTCTGTAATTCTTGTCCTCATTTCTATTTTTCTTTTGCAGAGTACTGAATCAGACTATTTGGGAGATGTACCAAAGGATTTACAATTTAGACTTTGTGCAACGGTTTAAAATTCATTCCAGAAAAAACAGCTTGGCGCCGTGCATGATTTGATTTCAGAATTTCAGTTGACTTCATCTGCAGCTGCTCATGGCAAAACTAATCAACAGACAGGTCAGCATGGAAGAGGAGGTTTTAGTTTTCTGGTTTTGGTATTTTAATTTCCATCTGGGGCTGGCATTGTGGCGTATTAGGTTAAGTTGCCATGCTGTGACACTGGCATCTCATATGGACACCAGTTTGAGTCCTGGCTGCTCCACTTCCAGTCCAGCTCCCTGCTAATGCGCCTGGGAAAGCCACAAAACATGGCCCAAATGCTTCGGCCCCTGCACCCACGTGGGAGACCTGGATGGAGTTCCAGGCTCCTGGGTTCAGCCTGGCTCAGCCCCAGCTATTGTGGCCATTTGGAGAGTGTACTAACAGATGGAAAATCTCTCTCTCTCTCTCACTCTCTCTCTGTAACTCTGTAAATAAAATAAATCTTAAAAAAATTTCCATCTGAAAGCACTGTCCCCTTTAGTGCAAGCATAGCCAAGTTATCTTGTAGCAGGAAGATAAAAGGAGCTCCGCACAGAAACCCGAGTTCCCCGGCACTTCTCAGGCTTTTGTGACGTCACATGTGTGCTCGTGCCCAGGTTTCCTCTCCTGAATGTGTTTCTGTCCCTGAACAGACCCTGCCCTCCCTGCGACCCTCCCAGCCCCGCCTTGCCTCCGTCACTGATTTCTCTGTTTGCTGCTTGAGGTCTTCACGGTGCCCAATGGGCCTTCCGTAAATGAATGAATACTTGCCACGGGAAGCTGGGAAAGACCAGTGGCACTTGGCCTACATATGGGACATCAATAATAGACCCAGAGCTCACTGTGCAGAGCTGCCTTTAAAAAAAAAGGTGAAAAAGATTTATTTATTTATTTGAATATCAGAGTTATAGAAAAAGAGGGAAAGACAGAGCTCTTCCATCCACTGGTTTGTTCCCCACATGACTGCAACAGCCTGCACTGGGCCAGGCTGAAACCAGGAGCCAGGAGCTCTCCCACGTATGTGCAGGGGCCCAAGCACTTAGGCCATCCTCTGCTGCTTTCCCAGGTGCATTATCAGGGAGCTGGATTGGAAGTGGAGCAGCCAGAACCCAAACCGGTGCTCATATGAGATGCTGGCCTCGCAAGCTGCAGCTTAACTCACTGTGCCACACCACCAACCCCTTAAATACTTTTTTTTTAAAAGATGTATTTATTTATTTGAGAGGCAGAGTTTCAGACAGAGAGAGAGGTCTTCCATCCACTGGTTCACTCCCCAAATGGCCACAACAGCCAGAGCTGGGCCAATCCAGAGCCAGGAGCCCCATCTGGGTCTCCCACATGGTTGCAGGGGCCCAAGCACTTGGGCCATCTTCTACTGCTTTCTCAGGCCGTTAGCAATGAGCAGTATCCATATGGGATGCTTGCAGCACAGGCGGAGGCCTAACCTACTACACCATAGTGTCAGCCCCTTAAATATTTCTTATTAAATATGTTAACAACCCTTTGAGGCAAGTGATATTAGCCTCTGTTTTATAGGTTAAATAACTAAATTCAGAAAGTCTTAGTAAGTCCGTGATCCCTGGGCCAGGGAAAGATGGAAGTGCCCTGAGTCCACTGCTGTCTTCTCCATCATACCTCCTATTCATGGTTACACATCACACACCTATGGAGCTATATGGAGTGAGGGACACTCGGGCATTACATTAATTAGGACTTTCGTTTGATATTCCAGAAATCAGAGAGTAATTCTCTCCAGCTGCAGCCCTGAAATGGAAATACAGTAACGTTAGGCATAAAATTGTATCTTGATTTCCCCCAAGGAATTTCCCTCTCTCATCCTCATAGTAAGCATTAACAATTAATGGGAAATGCTTTCCAAACCATATAGCTTCATTCTTAATATTTATGATGCCCACAAAACATACAAACATCTGTTCTGTGGAGTGATAGCTATTAAAGCACACTTAAGTGCCAAGCACTCTCTCTCACGTAGACGAGTCAATGCTTTAAGCACTTGCCCCTCTGGAGTTATCTAAACAGCAAGGATTCCAAGAAGATGGGAGGAAGACAATTTTAAATTCAGCCAAGGAATATGAGTTCGTTTTATCATGGCTGAAAGCACATAGTAATTTTAAATAGATCAAAGTTATTTTTAAATGGTTGACATGATCTTTCATATTAAGGATGACTGCACCCCCAAAGCTGAAGGTAAGGTTTCCCTCAGAGAAATCAAATTAGAAAAGACTCCAAAGGTGACGGATGAGATCATCCATCAGCAGGAGTGACAGACCTAAGAAATCTGTTAAAATACGACTGCCAAGTTGGGCACACCCAAACTGCAATCATGGTAGCCTGGAGTGCCCAAAGGAGCAGGCCAGGAAGGGGATTATTACTAAGGTAAAGGATTCTCTGCCTGGCAAAAGGCTGTGTGTGAGGAGGAGAGTGCTCTGTGCGGGTCTTTGATAGCACAGTTGAGCTGTGGGAGCCAGCACCTGCACACTATGTCCTATCTGACAATAAAATTTCTTGTGGTTAAGTAGCAGGCACATTGATGGATATATGCCATGTGACAAATGTGAGCTGCTCTGTGTATACTATCAACGTTGTCTGTAAGGATTTATTTATTTTATTTGAAAGACAGAGTGACAGAGAAGGCAGAGAGAGAGAGAGAGAGAGAGAGAGAGAGATCTCCCATCTGCTGGTTCACTCCCCACATAGCTGCAACATCCTGGTCTAGGGCCAGGTGTCAACCTGGAGCCAAGAACTCCATCTGGGTCTCCCACATGGGTGACAGGGTCCTAAGTACTTGGGCCATCTTCTGCTGCCTTCCCCGGGCGCATTAGCAGGAGCTGGATTGGAAGGTGGAGCAGCCAGGACTTGGACCAATGCTCCAATACGAGATGCCATTCAGGAGCAGCAGCTAAACCTGCTGCAGCAAAGGCCAGCCCCTATCATCAACATTTAGATCAGTAAAACTGAGGACCAGGCTTCCAACCCAGCAATCACGTGTCAGTAATGCTACCTAGTCATTCCTAGCTGATATTTCTTCAAATTGCAAGAAACACACTGTTCACATAATAGCTACCACCACCACCACCACCGCCATCATGATAACAAAATTATGAAAGTGCTAGCAATTGGTGAACACTTATCAAATATCAGGTACACTTCTAAAGCTCTCTATAAATTACCCATCGAGTCCTCACAGCTATCCCATGAGGCAAAAGGTGAATGTGATGCAGGGAGGTTATGTAATGTATGCTGGGTCATGTGCTAGTGAGTGCTAGAGGCCTGAATTCTAACCCAGATAAGCTCTCTGCTCTCTTGTCCACTCCCGGGGAGGCTGAAGAGAAGGGGGAGAGTATGTATGTATTTAAATATACATATGGAAATAACATGTTCAAACAGGTATTTTTGGTTGCAAGATATAAAGTTTTACTTACTGTCAAATAAAATGTTGGGTGAAGTTCACTGTGAGTAAGTGAACTATTATTTTATCATAATACCTGGTGTTTATCTTGACTTTTGCATCCATTACAATGCATTGTATGTATCTGTTCATATACTCAGTGTAATTATCCCGCTTGAGCCCAACACATTTGTGATTTTTTTTCTCTTTTATTTACTATTATATTCCTGATGCAAAGAACAGTGACAAATGGTAGGAGCTGAAGAAATATTTAATCAAATAAAAAGTAGGGTTGGGGGCACTGAGCCAGGACAGGACTGAGAGTTTGATGATTGCAAAAAGAAACACAATCAGCTGGAGATCATGGGACCTGACAACTGGGAAACAGAACTTGTTCTGTTACCCTGCCTGCCAGCCGCGGCTCTTACCTCGCCCCGCTTTGCATTTATATTTCATTTTCCTTTGCTTCAAGTGGGCTTCCTTTGCTACTCGTGCTTTCTGCGCCCCCATAATTTTTACATTTGTGAAACTGATCTGTTGTGAAGCCAATCTCAGCCTCAACTCTATTTGATCTTCAAGTTCTGCAGCCCATCACTGTTACAGACTAGTGCTACCGATTCAAGTTGTCAGGATGAAGATTCTGATTGGTTCAGCTTAGGTCAAGAGTTCTTCAGTTGTCCAATTAGCTGTGGCTAGAGCGCCTGATCAAAATGGCTGTCTAGGCTTGGTCTTTCAGCCAAAGGCAATTTCCATGAAAGGACTGTGGGCTGGCTGTGCACCCTAAAAAAGGTCTCTTACAGATGTCAAAGTGATATTGCTCTCTTTTTTGAATCTAGATTAGTTTTAGAAGCTACTAAGGAGTATTTTAAATTACGTTGAAAATTTGTAGTCATACGCTTACTGTATTTTAACACAGAATTTCTATGGACTGCCATTTTCCAGTTGCTTGCATTTTCAATTTTGTTCTTTGATTGCTTAAAACACAGACATCTTTTCTTTCTTGCCATGCAATGAAAATGTTCTATTTTGATAGGGTATGTGTTAGTCATAGTGTTTGCATTTTCATTATGATATCAAGAAGTTAATCTGTTCTACTCTTTTAAACCAGTGTAGTTAAGGGCTTTTGATGGTTTCTTGTGATAATTGCATTATGATTTTCACCCTCTTATGTTTTAGACTACATAATTTCCGGAGCTTGAAGAGAATTGCCAGAAATGTTACTTGTAGTTCATGATTTAATCCTGACACTGAAGAGCCCTAGATTGCCCCTAATTTACAAATGAATTCCAAAAGATCACTTGTAAGTCAGTTGTTTGAGACTTGAAATACATTTTCTTAGTGGTCCACAAGAGGTTATTTAACCTATAATACAGTCACTTCATCATTGGTTCCATCAAGTGCCACTATTTGCCTGGTGCTGTGTTAAGCAACCATGGGTACAGTAAGACAAAATAGATTAGTTCCTGTCCCCACGAAGCTTAGAGTCCAGGGGGAGGAACACCAACTAGTTACATTAGGGCTAATGTCATAGTTGGGTTCCTGGCACATAGTAGGTCCTCCAAAAATACTCATGAGGTGCATAACTGAATAGATTAAAACTGAATAATTTTATTTGCAATTTAATTTTCGATTTATTATTCACTTAGTCTTCACAATTCTCTGAGGCTTTAACCTTTTAAAATCTCTAATCCTAACTAATTCCACTCAAAAGGACAAATTTACAATGCATATATTTTTAAGCTTTTTGTTGATGTGTAAAACTTATACAGGGGGGTGGGCATTCAGTCCAGCACTTAAGACATTAGTTATAAAGCCAGCCTTCCATACCTGGGCTTGATCCCAGCTCTGGCTCACAATTCTAGCTTCCTGCTAACATAGACCCTAGGAGTCAGCAGGTGATGAATCCTTGCCACCTACATGGTAGACCTGGAATGAATTCCTGCCTCCTGTTGCAGGCATTTGGGGACTGCTCTCTCTCTCTTCCTCTCTCTCTCTCTCTCTCTCCATACCTCTAAAATAATTTTTTAAAAATATACAAAGAAATATACATAACTTGAATACAACTCAAATTGAACACATCTGATCAAGAAACAAACTCTTCCAGCATTCCAGACACTTGCTCATGCCTCTTTACAGTCAGTCCACTCCCCCTAAAGGAAAAGAGTATTATTTAAAAATTAAATAGATGAGCTTATAGTCATTTAATAATATATTTGAGAAAGAAAGAAATCTTAGTAAATCCTCATTTGTCATCTAAAACTCAATAAAATGTGTTACTAGGCTTGTCAGTCATGATTAGATCCAGCTACACATTATTAAAAACTGAAAACAACAATACTGAGATAAAGTTGTTTATTTCTCACATGAAGGAGATGTTTAGGGCTGGTTTGGTAGCTTCACAGTTATCAAAGACCCTGGTTTCTTCTATCTTACAGATCAACTATTCTAGGGCATAGGTAGGGGTGGGCCAAGACAGTGATTGGAAATCTAGCCATCAAATCCACATTCCAGACAGGAGGAAGGAGAGAAAAAGGACTGCACTCTTGTCTTGTTAAGTTCACCTCTGAGGAGTCTGTCCCCAAGGCCTTCATGACATTTCTCCTTAAATCATTCAGAATTTCATCATGAGGTCATATGGTTTTTAAGGGAAACTGGTCTTTTAGCTGGGTGCATTGATGTTCCCTATGACATAGGGATTCTGTTAGTAAGGAAAACAGAGAATATATTTGGAGAAGGCAACCAGTCTACAGCTATGTTGATTTTATTATAATTATGCATCCTCCATCACATTGTCTAATGAAAACTTAGGTATCATGTATAAGAAGCTGAGAGATCAAAGTTCAAAGAAAATTCTAAAAATCATTTACTGTACAAAGGGATCTGTATCCAGATTCAATTACTTGCTGTAGGGCCTGGAACCGGATGGCAGACCTCTCTAAGTCCAGCTTCTCCATGGTAGAATATGGCAGACACACGTCTTATCTAATTACAGTGTAGAGTCATGGTGAGCAAAATTGTTCTAAAAAGTCGTGTGTGTGTGTGCACGTGTGTGCTAGGTGTGGACTAGAAAAATTCAGAGAATTCATTCCTCACAGGCATATCTTCTTTCAAGTTTAGTATTCTGAGGTGAGTAAAAGGGTGAAGGTAAGTTCCAGCAGAACCCAGCTTATCATCACATAGATCTGTATCTAGAACAAGTTGAATCTTGCCTCCCACCAGAAAGGCAACGTACATAAAAAGGCTAATGTTCCATGATTATAAGGCAGGTGCTACTCTTGTCTTCCATTTTTGCCATATTATTAATGTTGGGCTCACTTCCAAGAACTCTCCCTAGGGGTAGGGGAGACTGGAGCAAGTTGAACTTTGAAGCTTTCTTTCTTTTTCTTTTTTTTTTTTTTTGAACAGGTGAAATCTGGTTTGAGTGAGCCTCCAGGGCAGCCTGTATCAGTAGAGCAAAGGCTGTCGCCATCAGGAAGAGTGGGAGGTGGGAGGGGCATCAGTAGCTGTCAAGCCTATCTCCAAAGGAGCATTGTCTGGGTATAAGTGGGAAACTGGGCAGGGCAACAGAGGTGGAGACTGTGCAGGGAAAGGCCAGAGGGTGGCGGGACAGTTCCAAGTAGGCAAGGAAGCTGCAGAGAGCACACACAGAGCCCTGAGCTCCAGGGCTGTGGCACCTGTCACACCCGATTCAGCTGATGTTGCCAAGCCCCTGCTATGTAAAAGGCTCTAAGCTAGGTGCCATGGGGGTGGGCAGAGGCACAAACCAGAGGGTCCTGCCTGAAGGATGCTGATGGCCACCAACCCCTAGTGAGGGCAGGAGGCATATGCTTTAAAGCACATCCCAGGGTTCAAAGTGATCAGTGTTATGAAAGAAGAGTGAGTGAGGTGTTGCCCAGATTCAGGGGTGGGGATAGTTAAGCTGCACGAATGGTGAAGGCGGGATGAGAAGAGGAGAGGAGACTGAGAAGGTCTGAGGACCGCGCTCTTTGATCAAGAGGAGTGCGATCTTCAGGGAGGAAGAGCTTTTGGCAGTGGGCGGGTGGGTGGTGAGAGGCTGGGAAGATGAGGCTAAGTGATTTGGTACCGTGGCAAGATTCACCTAAGAGGCCCCTTGGGACTTCCTAATGCAGAGTTTGCTCTGGGGAAGCGCAAGGGAAGAAACAGCCGCTGTCTCCCGCTTACTCCAGGGTTTCTTCTTCCCTCCTAATTTCCCTGCCACGCTTCGGTGTCGTCTTCCCCAGCTGCTACCATCAACACGAGCAGTCACAGGATGCGCTGCAACTGTGACCTTTCAGCCTAGGTGTGGAGGCTTCAGACCCCACCGGGGAAGCCGAGTGACTTAGAGACGTGGGTGGAAAGAAAGGGAGACGGGAGAGGGGGTGGGAGGGCCGCCATCGCTGCCCCTTTGGAACAAGCCTGCTGGGTCTGTTTACGAGACTTTTCTTGAGCTGTACCTTGGAAACCCATCCCAAGAGAGTCATTTCCCTCCAGGGATGATGGCAGGAGCCTCATGAGCACTGGACAAGCAGCAGGCTCCAGCAGGGGCTGCAGTGGAGGAACTGGCGTGGATGTCAGGGAAGAGGGTGGGACGGGGCTCGGGACTTCGCCCACTCCCTTTCGGTGGCTCGTGGGAGCGCAGAGCGGCAGGTTAGGTGAGGAAGATGCTGACCCTCGCGTGGCAAGGTAGATTTAAATGTGTAGCCTTCTGCTTTGTTTTCATTCTTTCTTTCCTTCTCTCTGCCTTTCCTCGATTTTGTTAGCTACATGCCACAACCCTCAGTGCCTCAGCAAGGCAAACAAAGCAGAGAAAAGCTTTTGAAGTTTTAACTCCTTTGACCTGGGAAGGATTCAATGGGTCATCGAGGGCATCGGTTTTCTTTCTCCCAGTACAGGAAAGGGGGTCCCTGGGTCGAAGTGCATAAAAGGCATCAGACAGAAGTGCTGAGTGCGTGGCCACGGTGGGGCCCACAGCAGTGGTGGGAAGCCAGGGGGCAGTGCCTTGTCCTAAGCGGGCCAGGTTCCAAGGGATAGGGGAGCACCGGAGTCTGCACAGAGGACTCGCTGACTTGGTGCGGACGCAGCCTGAGCCTCCACGTTCACGCGGAGCCTGGCGAGACGAGAGTCCATAGAAGCCCCTGGACAGGTTAGCCAGGTAGGAAAAGAGCCTTCAGCAGAGCTTCCTACCCAGTATGTACCCCTGGGGCACCCAGCTGTGACACAGAAGGAATGGCGACCAAGTCGTAACCTCAGGAAACCAAATCAAAGGTCAGGCAGGTGCAAGATGATGACTCAGGTCAGAATGACCCACCCAGGGACCCTCACATCTGTGGGCCCCTTTCTAGCATACGTTTTTGTAAAATTTCAAAAGATCTTTGAACTACAATCAGTTAAAGATTCTGTACCTTCCCATTTGTACCTCTCTTCTATCACACTTACCTCCTCATCTTCCTCCTCCTTCTCCTCTTTCTGGAAGTCTTGCTATTAAAAATGTTTATTCATTTGTTTGGAAGGCAGAGGGAGAGACACAGGGACACAGAGATCTTCAGTCTGCTGATTCACTCCCCAGATGCTGCAAGTGTTGTAGATGGGCTGGACCAGACCAGCGTCAGGCACCTGGAACTCAGTCGGGGTCTCGCATGAGGGTGACAGGGATCCAAGAACCTGAGTTCATGAAACAATGCCTCCAGGGGAGTGCACCGGCAGGAAGGTGGCATCGGAAGCCGAGCTGGGGCTCCAGCGCAGGCACTCTGATGAGCGATGCAGGCATCTCCCGTGGCATCTACACCGCTGCACCGACCACGCACCCCACATTCCCTCTCTAGCGTGGCATTGAAGTGGCTGTGGGCAGTTTCTGAATTCAGCTAAGGGGAACTTGAAATACACAGTCTTAACTGCAATGTGGGAAGACATTTTGAAATGTTTTAGTAAATCATATGAGAATTTAGGGCCTTCTAATTTCAGTAGATATGAAGAGTGCCTCTTTTGTCATTAGATGTGTTTTTTAGAGAAATGAAAGAAAATTCAGATAAGAAGGAACACTTAAGAAAAACTTAATAGAATACAAAGCAGAGTGATAAAGATCAGTGATAAAATCAATTGACATTTTGCAAGAAGCAAATTGTAACCAAAATAAATTTTGAAAACAGTGCTTCATATTGAAAGACCAAGTTAAATTTTTTTAAGATTTATTTATTTATTTGAAAGGCAGAGTTACACAGAGAGAGGAAAGGCAGAGAGAGAGAGGGTGGTCTTCCATCTGCTGGTTCACTCCCCAATTAGCCAAAATGGCCAGGAACCAGGAGCTTCCTCTGGGTCTCCCAGTGGGTACAGGGGCCCAAGGACTTGGGCCATCTTCTACTTTCCCAGGCCATAGCAGAGAGCTGGATCGGAAGTGGTGCAGCCAGGACTCGAATTGATGCCCACATGGGATGCCGGCACTGCAGGTGGTGGCCCTACCTGCTATGCCACAGTGCTGGCCCCCAAGTTAAATTTCAAATGAAAGTGATGAATATGCTTTCGGATTGTTTGATTATCCAATGAATGAAGAGAAACGGAGCATTTAAACACATTGGGAGAATATTTAAATCTCCTCTGACTTGACACAAAATACCAACATGGAAAAAAGTGATCTCAAACTCATACTGTGCTACTGCAATGAGGACATCCATAGCGAATGCGTTCATCAACTCGAAGATGACTGGAGAGTAATATTTCAAATATTCAGTATGAAAATATACAGCCACTATGAGAAAAATGTTGGAAATTTTCTCAAATTTGACAGCTCTAAACGTTTTTATGACATTACTGATCATGAACTGTGAAGTTGAAGAAACACCTCAGGTGGTAAATTAATAAAAAATACCATGTTGTAGTATGTTGTGATTTTTTTCATTATAAATAAAAGCTGGATGGACATTATGGCACAGTGGCTTAAGTAGCAGCTTGTGACACGGACATTCCATATAGGAACACAGGTTCTAGTCCCAGCTGCTCCACTTGTGATCCAGTTCCCTGCCTAGGAAGCAGCAGAGATGGCCAACGTTCTTGGGACCTTGCCACCCACCTGGGAGACCCAAATGAAGTTTCAGGCTTCTGTCTTTGGCCCAGCCTAGTCCTGGTAATTGCAACTATTTGGGGGAGGGAACCAGCAAGTAGATCTCCCCCTCCCCCTTTCCTCTCCCTCCCCTTCTATCTGTCACTTTGCCTTTGAAATACATAAATAATTTTTTGAAGCACATGGGCCTCTGGAAATAGCAACGTGAATTTTTTTTTTTTTTGACAGGCAGAGTGGACAGTGAGAGAGAGAGACAGAGAGAAAGGTCTTCCTCTGCCGGTGGTCCACCCTCCAATGGCCGCCGCGGCCGGCGCGCTGCGGCCGGCGCACCACGCTGATCCGATGGCAGGAGCCAGGAGCCAGGTGCCTTTCCTGGTCTCCCATGGGGTGCAGGGCCCAAGCACCTGGGCCATCCTCCACTGCACTCCCTGGCCACAGCAGAGGGCTGGCCTGGAAGAGGGGCAACCGGGACAGAATCCGGCGCCCCGACCGGGACTAGAACCCGGTGTGCCGGCACCGCTAGGCGGAGGATTAGCCTAGTGAGCCACGGCGCCGGCCGCAATGTGAATTTTTTAAAAAGATTTATTTATTTATCTGAAAGGCAGAGTTACAGAGAGAGATAGAGAGAGGGAGAGAGGTCTTCTATATGCTGGTTTACTCCCTAAATAGTCTCAATGGCCAGAGCTGGGCTGATCCAAAGCCAGGAGTCATCTGGGTCTCCCATGTGGGTTCAGGGTCCCAAGTACATGGGCCATCTGCTGCTTTCCCAGGCGCATTAGCAGGGAGCTGGGTTGGAAGTGGAGCAGCCAGGACCTAATTGCTGTCCACCAGGTGTCTTTACCTGCTATGCCACAGCCCTAGCCCCAACAACATGAAATTTTTCGGTGGCTTCTTGTGGCTCTCCTGAACCACTCTGCCCTGGTGACACAGGCAGCTGAGACAGCTTTTAAGATGTCTGCAGCTTCCTTATTTCCTCAGACTGTTGATGGGTTTCCCTATCCGTAGTTCCCTCAGCCCTTCCCAGAGAGTTATAAGCATGTTATTCCCTGTATTAAATCCCTTTCTACTTGAAATACCTACAGTGGTTTCAGTTTTCTTACTACATTCTGATTGATACACCTGATGGAATGGAAGCTTACCAAAGAGACTAAGTGGCATAGGAAAATCCATTCAGGGGGCTGATGTTGCATCATTGGTAAAGCCATCCCCTGTAATGCTGGCATTCCATTTGATGCAGCTCCCTGCTAATGGCCCAGGAAAAGCAGCAGCAGATGGCCCAAGTGCTTGGTTCCCTGCACCTGTGTGGGAGACCCAGATGAAGCTCCTGGCTTTGGCCTGGCCCAGCCTTGGCTGTTGTAGCCATCTGGGGAGTGAACCAGTAGGTGGATGATCTCTTTCTCTTTCTCTATCTCTCCCTCTCTCTCTGTAATTCATTTAAAAAATAATAATTAAAAAAAAAAACAGAAAATCCACTCAACCCCCCCCCCCCAAACAGCTGAGCTTGTGGCTGAGCTGCCTGTGCCCCTGCTGCCTCTGTAGATATTAGCACACGCCACTGGAGCAGGGGTCTGTAGCAGCAACGCCTCTTCTTCCATCCCACCTGCTGGCATCCTGGTTCACAGAGTGGCTCTGACATAATTCTGAAAGCCACAGGGCCCCAAAAGAGTAGGAGTGGGAAATGTGCCAGTTTCCACATCCCAGACAAAACCATATCTAAGGATAAAGAAAATTACGTCCCATGCTTGCCTCAGGTCTCTCCTCTGTCTCCCTCAACCTTGACTTCTTCCTGTTGGCTCCCTGGTATGACATTCTTGCCACGCTCTTTCATCTCTCCTCTCCTGATCCAACTGTCCCATTACCATTGACTCAGCTCCACACACAACTGAACAGCTGTCCAGCTCACCCCAGCGTGTGTGGAGAGAAGATATGAAAGACTTGCTCCTTATTCTGAGTAGCTAACACGCTGCTGGGAGGCATTCTATGTAAGTTCAATCCTGATGTTGCTCAGATGTTAATTACAAAATGAACACACTTTAAGGAGCTCTTACAAAACATAGTAGATACAGCGAGGCTTTAGTCCATAGATTTACAACTTAACTGGCTTTTGTCGATCAGGTTAATTCAAAGCATTCCCATTTGGCCGTTAGTGGGTTCCTCTTAATGGAAAGGCATGGCATCAATTGATTTATTATACGGAGAGCAAAATTCAAGCTGTCATTGCTTTGTATCTATGTTTGATTCCTAAAGGGTATCCAGGTGAACGAATCATTTTTCAGATGAAAGAAAATTTCCAAAGAAGAACATGCATGATAGAATCATAAATACTTCTGTTAGCCTGAGGCAAGCCAAGTTCATGTACTATTCTTTCTGAATATTTATTTATTTCAGGAATGGTTTAAGTTAATACTTTCATTCAAAGCCTCAAAGGCACTATGTTTTCAGCAAAACTAATAATCACTTCCTGATAACACTGACTTAAGTATGCTTTTCTTTCTGTGTTTTCTTTTCTGTGTCGTTTGGGAGAAGGAAGTCATAAAGCTGTGCATCTGGAGTCAGCGTTAGGCCTCAAAGATAGAGAGATCGCCTGTACTGTGGAGAACTGGTGCACTGCAGTCCCTCTGTCCTTTTCATGTAGCACCCAAGTCTGGGTGCACGGTGTAACCTGCGGACCACCCAAGAAAGAAGGGGCAGCCTTCTCTAAGGGGGTACCTTAACAGGGGCCTTGAAATCTTGTTTGCAAAAGTCAGATCAGGTTGGTTCAGGTACTTTTTATTGTTCTATTTATTGTCATTTTATTTGGAAGACACACACACACACACACACACACATATACACACACATTCTCAGGGAGGGAAGAGTAGAGAGAGATGGCCGGCGCCGCGGCTCACTAGGCTAATCCTCCGCCTTGTGGTGCCGGCACACCAGGTTCTAGTCGCAGTCGGGGCGCCAGATTCTGTCCCGGTTGCCCCTCTTCCAGGCCAGCTCTCTGCTGTGGCCAGGGAGTGCAGTGGAGGATGGCCCAAGTACTTGGGCCCTGCACCCCATGGGAGACCAGGATAAGTACCTGGCTCTTGCCATCGGATCAGCGCGGTGCACTGGCCGCAGCATGCTGGCCACGGCGGCCATTGGAGGGTGAACCAATGGCAAAAGGAAGACCTTTCTCTCTGTCTCTCTCTCTCACTGTCCACTCTGCCTGTCAAAAAAAAAAAAAAAAAAAAAAAAAAAAAAAGAGTAGAGAGAGACCTAGACAGACAAATCTTGCATCTACTGGTTCACTCTCCAAATGCCTGCAATAACCAAGGCTGGGCCAGGCTGAAGCCAGGAGCCCAGAACTCCATCTGGGTCTTCCATATGGATGGCAAGGACCCAGGTGCTTGAGCCATCACCTGTTGTCTCCCAGGGTGTGCATTAGCAGGAATCAGAATAGACCCAGGGCTCAAGCCCAGGCCCTCTGATGTGGGATGCAGGCATCCTAAATGCTGTCTTGTCTGCTGCACCAAACACCCACAGCTGGGTATCTTTCTCTAATGAGAGGATTCTTAATATTGTGGCATCAGTAAGGTACCCCCTCTGGTCCCCCAAATTTAGCTGAGAATCACTGGGCCCATGCACCGAAATGAATTAATATACATATTACAAGGTGGCTCAGCACAGAAATATGTACTGATTATTGATGCCACTAACAGTAACCAACTTGAAGCAGCTTAAAGCTACAGAGAGAATTGATTATTTATTATGAATGAGTGTCTCAAGGAGGAAGTAATCAAGCTTCAGGAAATAAGTGGCACTGAATTCAAGGGAACTGTAAAAATTTGGGTCTCTGACTCTGCTTCTCATTGCACAAGTTAGCTCTAGTCATAGACTATATTTTATGCTATAGAATTTTATTGTTGCTGTTTTGTTTTAATTTTGAAGAATCATAAAGACCTTTAATAAATGACCTACAAATTACAAAGTGTCTTATGCAGTCACAAACATACTTAAATTAAAGGGACTTTAACAATTCTTTTTTAGGGCCGGCGCTGCAGCTCACTAGGCTAATCCTCCCGGTTGGGGCGCCGGGTTCTGTCCCGGTTGCCCCTCTTCCAGTCCAGCTCTCTGCTGTGGCCTGGGAGGGCAGTGGAGGATGGCCCAGGTCCTTGGGCCCCTGCACCTGCCTGGGAGACCAGGAGAAGCACCTGGCTCCTGGCTTCCGAGCAGCTCAGCATGCCGGCTGTAGCGGCCACTTGGAGGGTGAACCTTTCTCCCTATGTCTCTCTCTCTCTCACTGTCTAACTAACTCTGCCTGTTATTTTATTTGAAAAGGCGGAGTGACAGAGAGGGGGAGAAAGAGAGAGAGAGAGAGAGAGAGAGAGAGATCATCCATCAACTGGTTCTTTCCCTAAATGCCCACAACAGTCAGAGCTAGGCCAGGTTGAAGCCAGAAACCAAGAATTCCATCCAGGTGTCTCATGTGGGCAGCAGAACCCAATCACTTGGGTCATCATCTGCTGCCTCCCAGGCACATTAGCAGGATGTTGGATTGGAATTGTGGAATGGTGTGGACTTGAACCAGGCACTCTCTTGATATGGGATGCAAGTGTCCCAGCAAAGGCTTAACCCACTGTGAGATAATGGCCACTCCTGACTAACACTTGATGACTGAAAAACAACTGTACAAGGAGCATTTCATAGGCTGTCCCTGGGAGACTGGGTATATTAGTAAATACAGATTCAAAAGTGATGTATTGTTGAGAGCTTAATCATGTATGGGAAAATCCTTTCTACTTTTCTAGGAAATTAGGGTATTAATTTCAAATTGTATTACTAATCAAAGGAATGAAACATTGTACAGAAATCCTTTGAATCATGTCTTCCAATTTATAATGCATTAAACCTAATAAACCACTAAGCTGATTTGCCCCTAAGAAAACAAATTAATCTTCATTGCTCATGAAGGGAAAATCATGTGTATTACGTCTAATAAACACTGCAAACATGATATGCTGAGTTGTTTTGGTGAAATTCTTGAGGAATGGACTTTAGCTAGGGGAAAATAGTATAGACCTCTACTGTTGCATTACACACATATGCACAAAGCAAATGAAACTCAGTGTTGGTGCCAGGTAATTAATCCAACTCAGATATGTTTTAATGATAATTACGAACTATTAAAGTTTGAGAGAAATTTAGTTAATAGGAGAAATCATTTTAATTCACCTCATAATTTTGAATTTTAAGGATTGGGAAAATGACATAATATCATTTCAAAGAGTTCTTTTTCTTAAGATATACTATGAAAATATCTAATAATTTTTGTTTTAACTTTCTAATTGTTAACTAGTGTTTTTGGTTTGGGCACTTTCCAAACATTCTGAAAAATGTATAAATAGCAGTAGATATATTTGCATAAAGTTGACTAAAAAAGCAATTAGAGTCTAATTAATATGTAAATTTAGTCCAGTCCAAATATGTCTATGTAGAGTTTATCCAGTAAATCTCTTACTATGGTAGAAACCCAGGTGTTTTTATTTACTTTAAAATTGAGGTATTTGATTCATAAAATTTTTGATATGAGAAAATAAATTTATTTTATAATCCTACTACCAAAAGAAAAACTTTAAGACACCAATTTTTCATTTCATCATTTCATTTCTTAACATTTTTTATGGAACTTAATTTATGACATCAAAAACAAAATGAAACTTTTTTTTCTAATATGATTATCCTATACACGTATTTTACATCTGGAGATATTGTTTTGCTCTTTGAAATACAAAGTTGGAAACACCCATTCAGATGATTTGAATAGCACACCTCCTGTTAGAACTGAGTGAATGGGTTGCCCTATTTGGAGAGAACATAAAAGACCAGAAATTTGAAATCCTGGGCCAGGAATGACTCCCATCAATGTCTTCCACTAATTATGTAGAGAGCCTTTCGGAGATTTGCAGCAAACATTTGGCAGTTACATTCTAGAGCCTGATTATACCCCTCAACCATCAGCCAGAAGGATTAACCAGTGATTTCCAAATATAGATCATAAAACTCCAGTTAAAAATTAGTCCTTTGGCAATTTATTTCATATTATTTTTCTTATGTAACATTTGATGCATACAGAAGAATGCAAGTGGTGTGTCGATTTGAAACATAATAATGAGATGGGTAATGTCACCAGTCACCCCATTGAAGAACTGGTGGCCTGGGCTCCTTCCTGTCCCACTCCTCGTCTCCACATTAAGAGGTAAGCGCTGTCCCACATTTTGTGGTGTTTGCTGTTTTTTTGTTTTGTTTTGTTTTGTTTTGTTTTTTTTTCCCCGAGAGGCAGAGAAACAGAGGGGGAGACAGACAGAGCCAGAGCTCCCGTCTGCTCGTTCATTCTGCACTCACCCGCAATGATCAGGAGTTGGTGGTGTGACTCCAATTGCTTGGCCTGTTCCTGCTGCTTCCAGAGCATGCGTTAGCAGATTAGCAGGGAGCTAGAGTCTGGAGCAAGAGCCAGGACTCAAACCCAGGCCCTCCGAAGCAGAATGTGGCATCAGGCACCAGGCTAATTGTCTGCTCCCACTCTCTTGCTTTGTGGAGTAATTTAATCATGCATGTATGTATTTCTAAGCAGTATACAGGCTGACCACCCCAAATCTGCAAATGTGAAATGTCTCAACAATGGAAACTTAAAAAAAAAAAAAAACACTTATTTATTTGAAAAGAAAGTTCCAGAGAAAAGAGAGGGAGAGACAGAGAAAGAGATCTTCCATCTGCTGGTTCATTCCCCAAACAATGGTTGGGGCTGGGTGGGTACTGGGCCAAGCCAAAGTCAGGAGCCTGGAACTCTATCTGGGTCTTCCATATGGGTGGCAGGAGCCCAAGTACTTGGGCCATCTTCCATTGCTTTCCCAGGAATGTTAGGAGGAAACTCGTGTGGGGAAGTGGAACAGCCAGGATATGAGCTATTCCTCCGATATGGGACGTCAGTGTTGAAAACACAGCTTAACCTGTTGTACCCCAATGCTGGTGCTCCAGATATGAAGCCTTTTGAATACTGACGTGATTCTATAAATTAAAATATTGCACACTTGACCTCGTGATGGGTTGTAGTCAAAACACAGGTATGCAAAAAAAAAAAAAATAGCATAGAAAAGGCCTTGCAGGCTAAGTGTAGAAGGTGTGCATGAAACCCAAATGAATCTCATGTGTAGATTGGAGTCATAGCCCCAAAATATCTCTTTATATATGTAAATATTACAAGGTTAAAAAAAAACTCTAATCTGAAATAGTTTTGCTTCTAAGCATTTTAGATAAAGAATATTTAACCTATATTATTTAGTTTTCTTTTATAAAATTTTTCTGTACATAGTTTTCTGCCACCTCCTGTTTTCACTCAATATTATGTCCTGAGAATGGAAGTAGTAGGTGCTGGCATTGTGGTGCGGAAAATTAAGCCACCCCCTGCAATGTGAGTATTCCCACATTGGTACTTGAACAGTACCAGTTCGAGTGCTGGCTGCTCCGCCTCTGGTCTAGCTCCTTGCTAATGCACTGGGAAAGCAGTGGAAGATGGCTCAACAACTTGGACCCCTGCCACCTATGTGGTAAACCCAGATGAGGCTTCTGGCTCCTGGCTTTGGCCAGGCGCCGCCCTGGCCATTGTGGCCAGCTGGGGATTGCACCAGCAAATGGAAGATCTCTGTCTCTCTGTATTTCCATCTCTCTCTGTAATTCTGATTTTCAAATAAATAAAAAACTCTTAAAAAAAAAAAAAAGAAGTAGTGGGATAGTAGTAGTTACTACATAGTGTTGTGAGCACTAATAACTATTATTATGTTTCCTTTTTAAAGAACATCTTTTCGTAGCTTTTGTTTGTAGGTGCTCTAGCTTTTCTCTTCGAGACTCTAAGGTCTTTTTGTGTCTTAGTGCAGTTTCATGATTAATATGTCTAGATGTGGATTTATCTTTATCATGCTTGATTTACATTGTACTTTCTCTGTGCATTCATCTTTAATCAGTTCAGGAAAATTCTTGGCCATTGTAATTTTCAGTGTTGCTTTCTCCTCTTCTTTCTTTTGGAACTGTGATAGACATGGTAAACCTGTTCCACCCTCCATGTCTTTCAACCTGTCTTTCATATTTTCTATCTCCTATTCCCCCTGTGCTGCATTGTGAATTATTTCTTCAAATATAATTTCCAGGTCGCTAATTTTGTCTTTAGTTGTTTTGAACATATTTTCTGAGTTGACGATTACAAAATCTGGGTATTGGTTGGGCTTACAAGTTCTGTTTGGTCTTTTTGCTGATCTTTATCATTTTTTTTTGTTTTGTATGCCATTTGATGCCATGTTTAATTTCTTTAACTACTTCATAAGTTTACTTAGTAATTTTTATATAACAATTCAAATCCTTCATTCTTTCTACCTATAAGTTTATTATTTTTTATTTCCATGGATCATAACTCATGGTGGCTTAAGTGTAGGTAATTTCTTGTCATTGTGAACTCATATTTTGTTGAACTTAATTTGTGGAAATCACAAGGACCACAGTGAGGGCTGCTTTTCCTCCACAGAGTCCTAGCACGGGGAGCTCTTGGGCTCAGCTGAGTCGGGTTCTCCAGAGTGCGCCTTGCAGAACCAGCTCGAAGGATCTCTTGCATACCCCCCCTCGGCAGCATGCCTCCAAGCTTAGTCTCCCTGTTCTAGGACTGGCACTGCATTTCCCTCTGCAACTCTGACTTCTATTCACTTAGGGGTTTATTTGAGAAAAAGAGAGAGGGGGAGATTCATTCACACTCAAATGCCACCGTGACTGGTGCTGGGTCTCACTGAAGCTGGAGCTGAGAAGTCCTATCCAGGGCTCCCAGGTGGGTGTCAGGGACCCAAATACTTCGGTTGTCACTTGTTGGCCAACCCTTTTCCCCTCCCCCTGAGTCTACATTAACAAAAGTCTGGAGTCAGGAATTTTGCTGAGACTTGAACCCAGACACTACAATATGTGATGCAAGTGTCTTACCCAGTATTTTAAATAGCAGGGCAAATGCCAGCCCCAGCTTTGCCTTTTCTGTTTGCTTATTGCTCCTTGTTCTTGTTTGAGCACAGGGTTTTTCTTTTTTTTGGCCTCTTTGGTCCCTTTCAAGAGATTCCAGAAAAACTTCAAAATGCATGTTAGTTGTGATTTAAATTAGCATTTAATTGTATCATAGTTAATAGGCTCTTTATGTAGCTTTCCAGGCTGCCAGAAATAGATGTCCACACAATAGTTCTAGCTGGGTAATGATTCTTAGATGAAAGTTATAGCAGATTCTTCCTTTAGTATAATACTCAACTTCTCACTAAAGACCCATCACAAACATGACTTCTCTACAGAACGAACCTCAGTTGGATGTCAGAGACTTGAATTATCATCTGTATTGCCTAATCAGGGGCGGGGACTGTCTGGCCGGTGGCTGTAGGAGGCCCGCTGGTCTGGCCCTGCCAAGGCAATGCAGGCAGGACTGAAAAATCAATAAATCTGTAGCAGGCTGATTTTTAAGCTGACAATTTCGTATGACCTGCAAATGATGTTATAAATACCCAAATGGCCGTTGGCAAAAAAGAAGTTCCCCACCCCTTTGAGACAAACCACTTACCCTTGGCAAGTTCATCTCTCTGGTTCTGTTTGTTGTACCATAGAGTGTGGCTATAATCACCAGCACACCTCTCCTACAGGTTATTGTGAAGCAAAAAGGAGAAACTGTGCTAAACAAGAACCTTGAAAAATGAGGGGGAAAAAAGGGTGATTGTAGTAACTAACACTTATGACCACTTCTGTATGGCAGTTTGCTAAGCTCTCATTGGCTTGTTACAACCCCTTGTGGGATGGGTTCTAAAAATCTCAGTTTAAGAATTGAGAAAAATGAGGCTCAGAGAAACTAAAATGGAAACTAAACAGTGAGAGCACTATTATTGAGGACCTCTTCCTTCCGCTCTGAAATCACATCCAGTTTGGTTATTACGATGAAGCGTAGCCATTTCCTCACGGTGAGTTAGGTGCTACCACATCTCAGGTACCTGGATGATTTTCTCTCATGTAATGAGAAGAATTTTTATGAGGATACAAGTATGTCCCCCAAGATGCCTGCTCCACTAAACCCTCCACCCTGAAGAAGTGATGTACTTTCGATAAAAGCATCCTCAGCTATGAATACTCCATTGTAATTTGTACAGCTGTGTAATCGAAGCCGCTAAAAGGCAAGTTAATATATTATTCTACTCACAGAACAGCAGTTTGATTCCTATGACTTCTTGGCACATCTGTTTGGGATATAAATCCTGAGCAGCCTGAGCAGTCACTTTCTAAATCTTCAAAATGCTTTACTAAGCAAAGTCTTTACTGTGGTTAAGGGGAGAAAAAGAATTAATAGACTCCCAAGTGCGTGGAGTAGTCTGGCTCACTGCAGAGTGTTCAAGGCAGGTGCAGGCGGGACTGGGGACCTGAAGAAGGTGCACTTGGAGGTGGAGGAGAGCACGCATGCTACACGTACCAGAAGGTGAACTTGCCAACTTGAGATAATTACAGAGGGTCTTTGGGAAGCAGGCTGCCCATGTTTACAGCATGGTTAATTTTTTTTATTGGCAGGAGTTCAAGTAACATTTAAGTAGGTTTCATCGGAGATGTTGATTATTCCTGGCCCTGGTACACTCCTTTCTGGTAAAATCCCTACCTACTTACCTCACTGAGTGGGCAGTGGGCCACATGACCATGACCACAATTACTTGGACACTTGGTCCAAAGGGGTGGCCATGAACTTTACCCAGAGACCTATGCCTTGTGTGTTTTTCTCTAAAAAATACGCAGAGGTCCAATCTTCTCTCTTGAGAACCTACAGTAAAAGACAAAAAGAGAAGCTTCCATTTTTGTATATACTGAAATCAGAAGACTGCAGAGATGTAGGGGCTAAGAGGAGCCAATTTTGCAGCTAGGTGTAAGGTGAGTGAGTTGCGTAGGCTGGTCCAGAGGGCAGGTACTGTTAATTCACTGCAAAGTCAAAAAGCCCTAAGAGCAGCAAATGTTTAGCCTGGTGGTTAAGACTTGCATGTCCCACAGGCTGCCTGGATTTGATTCTAGGCTCCGGCTTCTGACTCCTGCTTCCTGCCGGTGCAGGTCCTGAGAGGCAGTGATGGGTCAAGGCATTAGGTTCCTGACACCAGCATGGGAGGATTAGATGGAATTCCTGGTTCTCAGCTTTGACCTCACTCCAACCTGAGCCATTGT